GAACACTGGGACTATAGGTGTGCTGTCTACCATGCTGATGTCCCTGTCCCCGAACACTGGGACTATAGGTGTGCTGTCTACCCTGCCTGATGTCCCCTGTCCCTGCTCATCCTCATTTTTCCTTCTGTGCTTCAGAGTATTTGTGCTGCCCTCATTTCAGGTTTCCACTCTTTTCTTCCTCTGCTCTGCCAGTTGTAGTTAGTCACCTACAATGCCAGAAACAATGGCATTTATAATTCCTTTAAGTAATGTTATTTCATGATACATTAAGGTGCAAATTCGTTCGGTTTATAATTCTTAAAAGAATAATTGCAAAAGTGATGCAGATTCTTCAGTGTGAGGGTCTGAGGAAGCAGACGCCATGGCATTAGATCCTATTCGGCACCCTGGATTAGGTCCCCGAAGCCACATAATTCATACAGTCAAACTTCAACATTTACAGATAAAAGCAGCTTCAGTGCTGCCCAGGAGATGGACGTCTCTTAATAATACAGCTTTCAGGTGCGATTTTGATGGCTGGTCTTAACGTGTTTGCTTTTGACGTAGGTTCTCTCATAGCCGAGGCTGCCTTGAACTTGTAGCGTAGCCTTGAACTTCTGATCCTTCTCCCTTTGCCTCCTGAGTCCTGGGAGTATAAGCATGTACTTTCACACTCATTGTGTACTGGTCTTTCCTGAAGACCTTCTTCACTGTCTCTCTCCATCTCTGGTAGTCCACAGAAACCTCACTCTGTCGTTGACTTCATCTGGAGATGAAGGATCTGAGAATGTGGTAAATGCTCACGTCTTTTTGCTCAAGCCCTGGCATCTTTGCTTTTTTCCCCCCTCTCTAAGTTTTTCATAAAAATATTTTGTGTAAGGACTGGGCTTTCTTTATATAGCATGTGTTTGTGTGTTATATGCATGCATGTGTGCCTGTGTGTGTGCATATGGGGGTCAGAGGAAGATGTCAGCGTTCTCTGCCTTATTCCGTTGAGATAAAGTCTCCCATGAAACCCTAAGTTCTCTGTTTGGGTTAGACTGGCTAGCCAGTAAGCTCCCAGCATTCCCCAGTCTACCCCGCCTCCCGTGCTGGGTACAGGTAGCCATGGCCAAGCCTGGCTTTTCCATGTGTGCCAAGCATTCAGGTTCAGGTTCTTAAACCTGCACATGAGGTGGCCTGTTCTACTGAGCTGTGTCTCCAGCCTCTGGGTTTCCTTTTCCAGCCCTAATAAAAGTGGTACTTATGGCCACAACGGCAGGTAAATGTACTCAGTGTAGCTGCTTAAATGCGGAGCCTATAACTGTCTACATACAGGGGCACGACAAGACCAGGTCTCTGCTTCGTACTCTTCATGGGCAATCCTGTTCGAGAGCCACCTTCAGGAGGAACCCAGTGCTGAGACACAGAAGGACCTCCACGCACTATGGCGCCCATTCCCTTTTGTCGTGAAGAAGAATCACGACTAAAGCGTACATACAGAGGTTCCCAGGCACTGATCTCACTTCCTGGACTAATACGCCCTGACCTCTAGTTAAACTTTAAAGTGTGACTTCAGGGGCCCAGCATTTGCTGCTCTTCCAAAGGACCTGAGCTCGGTTCTCGGCTCCCAACTGCCTGTAACTCTAGCTCCAGGATATCAGATGCCCTCTTTGGCTTCTGTGGGCACAGCATATGTACACACAACTCAACTGAGTCCTTCAAAAGCCCTGACTTCAGTTAAATAGATCATTCTGTATCTTAGAACACTTACACTAAGATCCTGCCAGTCATATCTGTATCTTAGAACAATTACGCTAAGATTCTGTCAGCCATAGTATCTGGAATAGAGAGGGTCTATTTCTCTTGATTTTTGGCCCTGTCTCCTGGCATTTATTTTTTTTTATTTTTATATTTTTACTAAATGCTAGATACTGTGTATGGGAGGTTGAAGTGACTAGGAAAGACACTGTGTCTCTTCAGAGAAATTTATTTTTTGTTACCTTTCCCACAGTAGACATTTGTGTTTGAAACAGATCTTGTTGATCCAGTGTGGGGGAGAAGATGACTTGAGGCTGAACGGTTTCAGAGGAGGTCTACCCTAAGCCGTAGGAGGCTGGCCCTCATGTTAGGGGGCGGGGCTTGAGTGCCCTAGATGGTGAGACTGCTGCAGACATGGTCTTCTGTCTGTATCTTCTTTTCTAGCAGCTTCTGTTGGGATGCTGTGTCCCGCCCCTCCTGCCCCTATGCACCCAAGAGGAAGAGAATACCAGAGGTCAGGCTAGGGCTTCAGCTCTCCGTTTTCCAGCATCTCAGCCCCGGTACTCTGTCTACAGTCTGTTCTCTGAGTCTCATC